ATATATATATATATATATATACATATACATATACATATATATATATATATATATATATATATATTTATATATATATATATGTTTATTAACTAGATCCGAGTGAGAGTATCATACGTAGCAACAAGACTGCACAAACACGCGTGTACACCGATCTCTGCATACATAAGCACGCAAACACACATACATAACGATCCTTAGATATATATACACGGATGAACAAATGTGGAAACCGCTTCACTGATGGACATGACACATACGCAAGGTCTTCATTCTCAGTACTGGGGGTGTTGACTCCCACGGCATCTATGGCCGATGCGGCATCTGTCTCTGGAGCAGGCTTGGGTGTGAATATCTTGAATTCACCTGCGGAGGGACAATTACCGGGTAGTGAGCATGTATGTACCCATACATCGTTTGCATACATGCCCGGAGAATATATATATTCATATAAATACAACAAGTGTGTTGTTTAATTATGTGAATGATACTGTTGGGTTGTATGTGTTGTGGATTCTGGTAGTTGATATATATGATGCAAGTCAAGTACAAAATACAAGAAGCTTACATGGCATGTTAAGCTGGGTGCCATATCTGGTGTTAAAATACACAACCGATGTATCCACGGCATACTTTCTATGTAACTGTTGGCTATAGTCAATAATATTATATAGTTGATTAGTCATATGCTCATAAACAGCACAGTACAATTTGATATGAGCTCGTTCGGAGACATTGATACATACTCGTATGCCATAGAATTTTTTCCATTTTACACTGATATAGTAGCAATGACATTTTGTGTGAGGATGCAATTAAGAAAACGATATACTTTTGAGCAACCTCGCAAACATATGCACAACCTCGCAAACATATGCACAACCTAATATTTGAAAACGCACACATTACTCCCCTACGCATATACACTATGAAGGATGGAGCCACCGACATAGACTATTACGAATACACAGAGTGCTCACCAGGTGATCACTATCGCACGCACTAACCCAAGTGGAAATTTAGACACTCGAAGATACATTTTCAGTTTACAAACGTATGGGAAGGATACTTTGAATCTGAAAAGTACATACTGTCGTACATGGCTCCTCCGCCGTTGACATCATTGAGCATCTCCCATACAATGGTAGTCCTACAGTAGCCCTGATCTGTAGCGAACGTGTACAATTAGTCAACAAAGTCCTTATCTCGATAATAATTGGGTCACATATATCAA